GACTCGGTGCTTTCACTGCCAGGGGCCCGGGTTCAATCCCTGGTTGGGGAACTAAGATCCCGCAAGCCGTGAGGCATGGCCAAAAAAAAAAAGGAAAACACACGGTCTGAGGCTATGCATCCCAGGATCCAAGTGATCCCCGGGGCTCAGGGCAGCCAGAGGGCCTGTTTCCATCCAAATGTGGGGAACGGGGAACCTTACAGGTCTTGGGGCCACTGGGAATGTCCTCCCTGCAAACTGTCATGCTGCCAGGGAGGACAGTTTTGGTTGGAAAGGAAAGTCATCCAGGGCGTGGGTGAAGGGAATTTTTATCAGTGTGTCCAGTAGGGAGGCGGACAGACATCTCCTCCATAAGCTCCAGAGGGTGTGTGCTCTTCCATTTCAGTCAGCCAAGCAGGCTCAGGAAGGAAGACTGAGAGCCAGGAGCTGCCTGGGGCCCAAGGTCAGTACCCACCATAAGTGGGAAAGATGTAGCTGAGCACGGCCTGGAGCTCCGGGGAGGCTGGCAGCTCCCGCAGGACCTCGGCCAGGCTCTGGGTGGATGCATGGAGGAACGAAGAGAAATGGGTGAGCAGCCCATACTTGTTGAGGACCTGAACCATGAGCAGCGGGAGGATCTTCAACAAGATGGCATGACTGACTCCTCTGGATACCACCTGGGGAAGGGAATGAGCAGGGAGGAACAGATCTCATCTCCTGACTCGCCTTTCCAACAGCCTGCATAGCCCGAGGGCCAGCAACACTTAGCCCCGGCTGAACTTGGCTGAATTTGCATTTTAAAACTCTGTACTTGGGAAAACAAACAAACAAACAAACAAACAAAAACTCTGTACTTGGGACTTCCCTGGTGGCAAAGTGGTTAAGAATCCACCTGCCAGTTTAGGGAACATGGGTTCGATCCCTGGTCCGGGAAGATCCCACATGCCACGGAGCAACTAAGCCCGGGAGCCACAGCTACTGAGCCCGCATGCCACAACTACTGAAGCCCACTTGCGTAGAGCCTGTGCTCCGCAATGAGAGAAGCCACTGCAATGAGAAGCCCGCGCACCGCAATGAGTAGCCCCAATTCGCTGCAACTAGAGAAAGCCCGCGCGCAGCAATGAAGACCCAAAGCAGCCAAATATAAAAAAGTAAATAAATTTATAAACAAAAAAACAAAAAACTCCATACTCTGTGAATTTTTCCCATTCTACCCTCAGGTGGGTCCTTTTTTGCTTCTCAGTTTCCAGCCCAAATTCCTTGTGAATAATCCCAATCAGATGAAGTGAAAAAGTGGTGATACGACCACAGGGAGGCCAGTGTGGTCAGGGAGGCCAGCGTGGTCAGGGAGGAGAGCTGAGCGCCCCCCAGAGGCCAGAGTGAGAGTGGCAGCTGCGGAGCCCAGGCTCCAGAGACAGAGGGCCCCCGGGGCACAGAGGCCAACTCCAGTGGAGGCTGAGCTCCAGACAGACAGGCCTGTTCCTCCTTCCTGCCTCCCTTACCCATCACTCCGCTAATGAGGAAGGTCAGCCTTGCTGGGAATAAGCAGGAGGTCCTCAGCATGTCCGTGTTACCTTAACCAGCCTTATATACTTGTCGATGGCAGCTTCCTCCTGGGGAAACTTCTCCTTGAGGCCCTGTACGTAGGCTTTCTCCCCACTGTACATGGGAAACTCCTTTCGGCCATTGGGCCCTTCTAGTACCATGATGTCAAAGGGAGAGGCCGTGGGAGCCCAGTCCAACTGCCCCTCAGTGATCTGGTCCAAGATAAAACGGCCAAAGCTGCCCTCCTGCATGCGCCCGATATAATGGATTCCTGTTGGGAGACAGAAAAACAAAGTGTCATAGGAATATGGGGATCGAGCCCTGGAAAAGCTCCAACAAGGAAGCAAGGTGAAAGAGGTTGTCCTGCAGGGCTGAGTCTGTGCCCAGAGGGGGTACCCACCCTTTCTGTAGAGGGGGGTTGCAGCAGAAACCACCAAATCCCTGCCCAGTTCGGCTGCCGGCGGGTACAGCTGTCAGACAAGGAAAGCGGTGCCCAGGGAGAAGACGGGGCCTCCAAAATCACAGAAATGCCCAGGATCGTCCCACCATGGCTGCTCCAAACCACCAGCTCCCAGCCCTTTTCCACAGAAGCCTTACCCGTGTCAAATTCAAGGCCATTCTGTCCAAACGTATGACAACAGCCTCCCGCCTTGGTATGTTGTTCCAGCACCAGAACTCGCTTGCCAGCTTTGGTCAGGATCGCCGCTGCCGCCAGGCCCCCAAAGCCACTGCCTATGACCACCACATCCAGCTTCTCTGGCACTCGGCTGGCTGAGAAAGCTGCAGCAGATGGAGGAGATGGAGGTGGGGGCTTCTTGGGGGGCAGTGAAAGAGCAGTGATGTGGAAACCAAGGCAGAATTCTCTAGCCTGTACAACGCCAGAAAACTCTAGAGCAGTTTGGCAAGGAGCTCCTGACTAAAACGTCTCAAACATTTTACCTGGGAAATATTCAGGACCAGCCAGGCGGGGTAAACAAAGTGATTTGGTTTGATCTGAACTGATTTAAGGAAAGCCACTATGTAGCTGGGGATGTTTCCTACTTGCAAAGAAAGTAAAAAATCCACAAACTATCATAGGAACAAAACAATGCTGCAATACAGGCTGAGAAACCTAAGTGCAGACAGAGAGCGAGCTAGGGAAGAAAGGAAACAAGGAGGGGGACGGGGCCAGTGCAGGCTGCTGGCTCATGGACTGGTCCATTCACAAGCAGGTTATCTTTGGAAAATGCAGGGTCTGCAGTTAGCAGTGGAGCAGCCCAGTCGGATGATGGTTCTTCAACATCCTGATGCAGAGGCAGGACAGAGCTGCTCTGAGAAATCGTGGAGGTGGGGTTGAGGAGGAAGCACCTAAACAAGACAAAACTGGACAGCCCGTGGTGCTGTATGGGCACTTCCTACACAAGATCTGTTCTCTCAAGATCACTCCTAACTGGTGGCGCAGGGGTTAAGAATCCACCTGCCAATTCAGGGGACACGGGTTCAAGCCCTGGTCCGGGAAGGTCCCACACGCTGCGGAGCAACCAAGCCTGTGCACCACAAGTACTGAGCCTGTGCTCTAGAGCCCACAAGCCACAACTACTGAGCCCACGTGCCACAACTACTGAGCCCATGTGCCACAACTACTGAGCCCACGTGCCACAACTACTGAAGCCCACACATCTAGAGGCTGTGCTCCACAAGAGAAGCCACCACAATGAGAAGCCCATGCACCTAACGAAGACCTAACATAGCCATAAATAAATAAATAAATATATTTTTTAAAAAAAAGATCACTCCTGAAGAATTGAGATTTGGAATTTTTCAAGCTGCTAGGGAACTCAGTAAACTTTCAACTTTTCAAATGTTTTTTAAAAGACCTATAGTGAAAAATATATTTCATATTCACATCCCAGAACATATGTTAGTATATAATATAAATACCTGAAACAGAAGTTTCACAATACTTACCAGAACCATGTATTATGCACTCTGATATTTTCCATTCTACTGTCATTTAAAATGTTAGTTGCAACAGTTAAACTAGTCATCTCATTTTTAGACCAATCCAGATAAATGGAGTGACTTGCTAATGTTTTCGCAGCAAATTGGTGACAGAGTCCAATTAAAACTCTGATCTCAGAAGTTCAAACTAATAGCCCTTCCACTTAGAACAATACTGTCTCCAACTGTGTAGCAAGACTTGTTGCACAGAATACTAAAATTTACAAGTGAACAGGTGAGAGAGATCTCGGATATCAACAGATTATTCTCTTTACAGGTTATTCTTTTTTTCTTTTTTCTTTTTTAAGCAGTAGAACTCTTTCTTTAAAACCTTAGAGGAAATTCGCAAATACTTTTTAAAGATGACAGTGCAGGTCAATGGAAGAGCAGCTCTGAGCCTGAGTCACCCTGTTGAGTCTCGTTTCAACAAGAGATGGGAGCAGGCATAACCAGTCAAATCACTTGATGGGCCAAATGCAATTTCCTATAAAGGTTTCTGTGCAGCTCTCCCAAGTCCCTGAACCCATGGGGAAGATAAGTGAAAACGTTAAGGTCTTAAAGCAAAGTAGGGGAAGGGTCTCTTGTTTATCCGGTTAGCCACCTCTTGTTTATCCGGTTAGCCACCGCTATACTAAGTGGCAGGGCCTGAGCGTGGCTATGCCAAAAACTTGGCTCGCCGAGGACGATGCCCGCGCCCGTGTGGCCACGATTCCCCGGGCCTGCGGGGACCAAGGCTCTCGCCAGTGGCGGACTCTAAAGCGGGTGCCTCCACGTGCAAAGAAGCCCTCCCATCACTCTGCATCTGGGGAACGCTAACCCGCGAGGATGTCCAGGCGCAGCCTCAGACCCCGGGGTCCCTCCCGCTCACCTTGCTTGAGAACCTTCTTCCTGGCCTCGTTGTCGGTCACCAGGGGCGCGGGTGGCCGCTTGACATCCTCGGAGAAGGGGTTCGGGGAGCTGCTGGAGAACAACCCCTTGCAAACTTTGCCGAGGACGGCCAGCAGCAGCAGCGCAGCCAGCGGCAGCAGCAACAGCCACATCGCGCTGGCGTCGGAACCTGTCCGCTCCGACTGCGCCCGGGCTCTGCGGCCGCGGCTCTGCCCAGTTAGCTTATCCTCGCACCCGGAAGGCACTGCCAACTTTGGCCACTGCTCAGCCAGGCCCTTTTTGGCCAGAAGCCAAGTCTCCGGCGGAGATTGACCATTGCGGCTCTTCGTACTCACGTCTCTGGAGGCGCGGAGGGCCGTGCGCATGCGCGGAGGAGGCCCGTGCGCATGCGCGGAGGAGGCCCGGAGGGGCTGAGGCACCCCAATCGCGAAAGCTCTGGGAACTCGGGGGCTCAGCGGGCGAGACCCGGGGGTCCAAGGAGAAGGAATGTGGGGCGGAAATGGTCGCTGTGGGGCGAGACAAGGCTGAGAGTTGCAGAACAGTGAGAGACTCCTTACTGGCAGACCGGAGACATCGGTTTTGGTCTCGCTGCATGACCTGAGGCAAGTTGCTTTCCTGTTTTCCCCAACGAGAAAGTTGCTGTCCGGAGTCCCCACCCTCTCTGGCTGGGTTTCTCGATGGACTGAGATCTCTGTTAACATACGCGTATCCCAGCCGGCGAGCACCGGGATTTGTGACCCCAAATTGGCCAGTAGTTTTGGCTGCGGCGCCCCCCTGGGATGGTGATGCCTGCGGCGGAGGCCTGCTCGGGGCTGGAAGGGCCGGGGAGGCCCCAGCGACAAGGCCGATGAAGGAAGTGGCACACCTGTGTGCGCGTTTTTATTTAAGGTGTGGACCCGATTTCTAGATTAAATACCTATTCAGAGAGTTTAAGGTCCAGCAAGCTTAAACTTAAAATCATTGCCCTTAATGTAGCTCATTGCCTAAAGTGGGTGCACCATAAAAATAAACCAGGACCTACTGTATAGCACAGGGAACTATAGTCAATATCTTGTAATAACCTATAATAGAAAGCTATTCGAAAAAGAATATCTGTATTCAGATATATATTATATATATAATTGAATCACTGTGCTGTACATCTGAAACTAACATGACATTGAAAATCAACTCTACTTCAATTAAAAAAAATTTTTTTTAATTAAAAAAGTAAAGTGGGTGGGCTTCCCTGATGGCGCAATGGTTGAGAGTCCGCCTGTCGATGCAGGGGACACGGGTTCGTGCCCCAGTCCGGGAAGATCCCACATTCCGTGGAGCGGCTGGGCCCGTGAGCCATGGCCGCTGAGCCTGCCCATCCGGAGCCTGTGCTCCGCAACGGAAGAGGCCACAACAGTGAGAGGGGCGCGTACCGCAAAAAAAAAAAAAAAAGTAAAGTGGGTGCACCATAAATACTGAATTTGGAAAGGATCCATCTTTATAGGATGGCCATTTCTTCAGGCCCAGCCATGAGGAACTTGCCTAATATTGGTAGGAGTGACTTTGTGATTTCCAGTACTTGCTTGTTTGACAGTTTCTGCTCTTTTCTTTCTCTCTTACAGATAGTAACTGTCCCTATTGAAGCCCCCAGCAGGGCGGCAGCCAGAACTGAGGCGCCAGCAGGCATGTAAAGTTGGTCATGCATCTGTGCTGCTTGATACATTTCGAGCCCAGTAACAGAAGAGCCTTCCTGAGATTGCCGTCACCATACTTGCCTGTCACCTTCGCAAGGTTGGCCAGTGTGTGAGTGTTTGGTCATATGCTGTCATGGAGGTCAAGGGGGAGGGAAAGGAAAGGGAGGCAGATGTTGAGACCCCAGAGAGAGCTAGTTCCTGAGGAGCACTGCCCTCCCCCTCAGTTACAGTGAGCCAAATGTCTAGCTCTAGAGTCGGGAGGTGTTCCTGCTCCCGACTAGGAATCAGTCAGTGCGTCCTGCCCCCTGACAAAGAGTCCATCTTGTTACTGGCAGCCAGTTTGTAGGGAACCCAGATCATATTCTCTGGAGGGCTGACCTCAGGGCAGTGCCACCCTCCGTCCTTAGTCAGCCAAGTCTGGGTACTTCCCTGGTGGTCCAGTGGTTAGGACTTCACGCTTTCACTGCCAAGGGCCTGGGTTCAACCCCTGGTCAGGGAACTAAGATCCTGCAAGCTGTGCAGCGTGCCAAAAAAAAAAAGTCAACCAAGTTTGTGAGGTACGACTGCCAGTCATCTGCATACTTATCCACATTCTTGTTGTGACAGACATGCGTGGTGTCCACTTCCCCCATGATGAGGTGTGGGCCTGTCCAGCCCTCTTCCTAGGGTGGACTCATGGGAGGAAGGGCTTCGAGCTAGCCACACTGGCTAGGCAGCTGCCACATGTACAATGTTGGTGCTAACTGAGGAAGGGTAGGCACAGTGTTGCATTTTGAGTTTCTACCGTCGTAGGAACCGAATCTGGTATTAGGCCCAACCTGCGTCTGAGACCTAAGCAAAGCCTGAGCACTTAAGCTAAGACCGTGCACCGACGTGTCACTCTAAATCAGCCTCACCCCTTTGAGATGCTGCCCCAGATCTCAGTAACTTCATCGTCAGAAACAGATCCCCACCACTTACACTGGTGCTGCCTCCTGGGTACTGATGGTCCAGCTCTCGGACTCCTGCAGTGACCCCTTCTTTCCATCCAGTGACATGGATAGTAAGAGGCAGGCATTTGGCTAAAGAAGACTGTTTATTCAGAATATGTTTACAGCTGCTTGAAGATTTTTAAAGTCAGTTCTTTTTTTTTTTTTTGCGGTACGCGGGCCTCTCACTGTTGTGGCCTCTCCTGCTGCAGAGCACAGGCTCCTGACGCGCAGGCTCAGCGGCCATGGCTCACGGGCCCAGCCGCTCCGCGGCATGTGGGATCTTCCCGGACCGGGGCACGAACCCGCGTCCCCCGCATCGGCAGGCGGACTCTCAACCACTGCGCCACCAGGGAAGCCCTCAAGTCAGTTCTTAACAGAGGCATAATTGAATGATGAAACCAGTTTTATTCTTTAATTTTTTTTTTTTTTTTTTCAGGGCTGATGCTCCGGAAACCTCAGGGACTCACAGAAACCTGCACCCCGGTGATGGCACACAGGGACTGTTTTCTTGTTCTTAGTCTAAGTGGTTGCCAAGAAGGAAGGCAGAGGTAGAACAGTCGGATCTAGGGCTCTCCCCAGAGCTTCTAATCTCAGACCTTATTAAACTCCTTTCTGAGCCCAAGGACAGAGTTCACTTGAACAAATGATTTTGAGTCATGAATGAAAACTCTTGCTCTTTCCATGATGAGAAAGAATTAAGAGAGGGACAGGTAAGCAAGCACTTCTGTTTGGGAAAGAAGGTGTTGGTTTGGGTTATGTTGTTAATAGTAATAAGATAGAGCATACATCAAGAGGATGTGGAGCTTTAGAAATGTGTAGGAAGAATCCTCACTCTAGTTCTCTTTGTTCTACTAGAAGAAGCTTCTAGTCACTTCTGGGTCAATTGCCTTTCCTGACAGCTTATTTTCTAAGTGGGCTATGGGATTTTGGTCTGGATTTGCTTGGGTGGGAAGAGAATTTCAGGCAGAATCCCCCAAGAAATGTGTATTTCATCAATTTGGGTTGCTTACCTTACTGGCCCTTTCTGTCTCCAGTGCGTGTTTTGGCCTGGTTATTGTCAGGACTCCTGAATCAATGTGCTATGTCTTTTTTTTTTTCTTTTCGGCTGCACTGGGTCTTAGTTGCAGGATCTAGTTCCCTGACCAGGGATCGAACCCAGGCCCCCTGCATTGGGAGCACAGAGTCTTACCCACCAGACCACCAGGGAAGTCCCCCAATGTGCTATGTCTTCGTGTTAGCCTGGTGGCTTACCCTGCATTCCTTACCTTTTTCACTACCTTGCCCAGAAATAGTCTTAAATGGAGCCTGTGGGATTCAGTGGCCAGAATGGGGACAAAGCCTGTGCTTTGGGAGTCCAGGGAGGTTTTTGTCACTGTTCTAAGATAGATGAACTGTTCTTCCAGAGAACATCCATCTTGGGACACTAGAGAGGACTGAATCGGAGAGGGAGAGGAAGGATGCGATGAGTCCTGAGCACACAGACTTCTCCAGGGAGCTGTTCAGCATGATGAATTACCAGATATTTTTGAGAATGTATCTCGAGCCTAGTGCTGTGCAAATGGTCTAAGAAATATAAAACAAGTATACGAGAAGGTCCCTGCACTCAAAGCGGCAGTCTGACTGGGGAGACGGGTCTTTTGCAGAGGCCCTTGTGCCGCATACAGAGGGGCTATAGGACTTAGAGACGTGAGGGACCATTGTAGCCCCAGTTGGTAAGGTCGGCCTCCCCGAGGAGGTGGAACTGATCTTGAAGGGACCAGAAAACACTGAGAAGGTGGAGGTGGGGGCGGATTCTGGAGGAAAATCACATGACCCAGGGGTTGGAGGTGAGAGGAACTGCAGCACATATGTTCATTGGATCAAATTGGGAGACAGTAGTGCTTAGGCATCGTGAGGCCAGTTATGGAGGAGTTAGCTCAGCTGTGGTGTGTTTAGTGTCCATTCTTGTGTCCCAGGCAAAAAGAAATCAAAAAAGTCAAAGCTGTGTTTAAGGAGTGTTAGTTGGCAAAAATATGTGGAAGGGATTAGAGTAACAGGACAATCTGAGATTCTCGGTCCTTGACATAAGCAATGATTCCTTTAATTATTATTTTTTCTTTTATTTATTTTAGAGAAAATAATTCTGCAGATGGTTCAAAATCCAAAAGTACAGAGGATGTACATATAGTGAAAAAACTACCTTCCACCCTTGTCCCCCAGCTACCCAATTTTCCTGATGGAGGCAAAGTTACTACTTCCTTGGATATAATTCTGGAAATAGTCTCTGTAAAGACACGCAAATATATTTATGTGTTTTTTAGAAATTCAAATGGCAAAATAGTGTATATACTCTGCCCTTTGTGTTTCACTTAATATATCATGAAGATTGTTGCAAATTGTCCATAAAGTACTTTCTTACTCTTTTTTATGGCTGTATAGGATCTCATTGAGTGGATATGCTTTAATTTGTTTAAAATTAGTCCATTAGTGACAACTAGATTTATCATGGCGATCATTTTGAAATGTATAGAAATATCAAATCACTGTGTTGTGCACCAGGAACTAACAATGTGTTGTAGGTCAATTATACTTCAAAAACAAACAAATAGGGACTTCTCTGGTGGCACAGTGGTTAAGAATCCGCCTGCCAATGCAGGGGACACGGGTTCAATCCCTGGCCCGGGAAGATCCCACATGCCGCGGAGCAACTAAGCCCATGCACCACAACTACTGAGCCTGTGCTCTAGAGCCAGCGAGCCACAACTACTGAAGCCTGCGTGCCTAGAGACCGTGCTCTGCAACGAGGAGCCACCACAGTGAGAAGCCCGCACACTGCAACGAAGAGCAGCCCTCGCTCGCCACAACTAGAGAAACACCATGCGCAGCAACAAAGACCAACGCAGCCAAAAATAAAAAAATCAAAAACAAACAAAGGAACTCATAGAAAAAGAAATCAGATTTGTGGCTACTAGAGGTGGGGGTGGAATTGGATGAAGGTGGTCAGAAGGTACAAACTTCCAGTTATAAGAAAATAAGTACTAGGAATGTGATGTACAACATGATAAAGATAACACTGCTGTATATTATAAATGAAAGTTATTAAGAGTAAATCCTAAGAGTTCTCATCACAAGGAAAAAAAGTGTTTTTTTCTATTTGTTGATGTATCTATAGGAGATGATGGATGTTCACTAAACCTATTGTAGTCATCATTTCATGATGTATATAAGTCAGATCGTTATGCTGTACACCTTAAACTCATACAGTGCTGTATGTCAGTTATATCTCAGTAAAACTGGGGGGAAAATATAAAGTATAATAAAATAAAATTAAAAGTCCATCAGTGGACAGTCAGGGTTTTTCTAGCTTTTTGTTTTTATAAACAGTACTACCATGAATGACACTGTCAGCATGTCATTTGTACATGGATGACTATATGTGTTAGATAAATTCCTAGAATGAAATTGCAGGCCCCAAATGTGCACAGCATATGTGATTTCGTCAGATATTGTCAAGCCAGAGAGGTGGTACCAATTCACCCTCCCGTGTCTTATAACTCTCAGTCGTCTAGCCAGCACAGTGTTAACACACTTGTTGATCTTGGATAATAGGATAAGTGAAAAACATTATCTCAGAGTAGTTTTATTTGACATTTCTCTTGTTATGAGTAAGGTTGAGCATTTCTTCACGTTTAAGAACTATTTGTGCTTCCTTTTATGTAAATCATATCCATGCCAGTTTTTCTACTGGGTTGTTTCTTTTCCTTACTGATTTGTAGGATCTTTTTTTTTTTTTTAACATATTAGGAAAATTAGCCCTGTATTGGTGATATGAGTTGCAAAAAGTTGGTCAGATGGTTTTTTAAGCTCCAGTAGGGGGAAGGTTTGGCTGAGCAGAAAGGCCAAAAGTGAGGAAAGTGCTACACTCAACTTTACTTACTCAGAGCCTTGAGACCTTGAACGGAGCAAGGAAATCTGTATAATGTTATATTAACATTGGGCTTCCCTGGTGGTGCAGTGGTTAAGAATCCGCCTGCCAATGCAGGGGACACGGGTTCGATCCCTGGTCCTGGAAGACCCCACATGCTGCGGAGCAACTAAGTCCATGCGCCACAACTACTGAGCCTGCACTGTAGAGCCGCGAGCCACGACTACTGAGCCCACGTGCCACAACTGCTGAAACCTGCACACCTACAGCCCGTGCTCCGCAACAAGAGAAGCCACCACAACGAGAAGCCCGCACACCACAACGAAGAGTAGACCCCGCTCGCCACGAGTAGAGAAAGCCTGCACACAGCAGTGAAGACCCAACACAGCCAAAAATAAATAAATTAAATATATTTAAAAAAATTTTTTTTAAAGATTATATTAACATTAAGCTTTTCGTGGTTTTTCTTAAGACTGATTAAACAGGAGTTTTCCCTTACAGAGTTCCTTGTAGTTGACTTCTCAGGAGTTCATCCATTTTGTGTGTGTGTGTTATTGGAAAAAGGTGTGACGTTTAAGCTGTCATCTTTGAGGGACTACTACGTGCCCAGGAGACTGACTTTGGTTTGTCTTGCAGGTTGAAGGTGTGTCTGCTGGGTACCCTCCACCATGTGACAAGGACAACAGTGCTCTTCTGGCTTTCAGGGGAATTCCTGTACGTATCACCCACACCTCAGTGCTTCCTGTCGGCAGAAACTTGTGTTACTTGCTGCTATATGGTGCCAGGCACCGGGACACAGGATGGCACAGACCCTGCCCTCCAGTAGCTCACACTTTGGATGGGGGTGTGGGGAAGGCACAGGCATGCAAGACAACCTCTATCTGATAAGATACTTGTTATAATGACGCAGAACATAGAATGCAGCGGGAATACCGCAAGCACACCTCTGTCTCAGTTGAGTTGAGTGGATTTTTGTCTGTTTGCTCTCCAAGGAGAGCATATATTCATACCTGTCCTCACGTCACTCAACTGCTCCGTCATAGTTGGCATTTTCCGGGTGCTTCTCTTTAAGATTGGTTTTAACCAACCCATGTGGGAAGACTAGATTCTTCTGGCCTCCAGTTTCGAGGACACTCAGTACAGCGGGTGGGACTTGTTTGTGTGGGTGGGGGGACGTGGACTCTGCCCTCGCACTAAGGGTCAGCTGCCCCTACAGATCTCAGAGTTGAAGAACCACGGCATCCTCCGGGCCCTGACGGCAGAAGCGAATAATGGCTGGGAGCCGGCTGGTAAGTCCCCCTTGGAGCCTGGGTGGGACTCAAGGCGGAGCTCCCTGTGGGTCTGCTTTTCCTCATTTGAATTTCTCTCACTACTTTTCCTGTAGAATTTTATATATATATATATATATATATATATATATATATATATATATGTACATTTATTTATTTATTTTTGGCTGCGTTGGGTCATCATTGCTGCGCGTGGGCTTTCTCTAGTAGCAGTGAGCGGGGTCCACTCTTTGTTGCGGTACGCGGGCTTCTCATTGCGGTGGCTTCTCTTGTTGCAGAGCACGGGCTCTAGGCGCGTGGGCTTCAGTAGTGGCATGCGGGCTCAGTAGTTGTGGCTCGCGGGCTCTAGAGTGCAGCCTCAGTAGTTGTGGCACACAGGCTCAGCTGCTCCGCGGCATGTGGGATCTTTCCGGACCAGGACTCGAACTCGTGTCCCCTGCATTGGCGGGCAGATTCTTAACCACTGTGCCACCAGGGATGCCCCTCCTGTAGCACTTCATAGAGTTATCATCCTTCAAGGGAAGTTAGAGACCTGAGTTCTAATTTGGCCCCACAAGCCCTGCTGGTAGCTTACTCTGCGCCTTTGGGCAAATCATATAATCTCTGTGTCTACAGTGGAAATATTAGTACCTCCTTTGTCCTCAAAGGGATGTTGTGATAATGAAATGAGACAGAGTGGGTGAAAAGCCTTTGAAAAGTTATCCTGTTTTATCTGCTTGACATGGCTCTTCCCATACTATATTTAAAGCTCATTCCACTTGCTAATTTATTACACAGAAAAGCACACTCACCAATTCAGAAGAACCAGTTCTGGAGCCAGATATCTCTGGCTTAAGTCCTGCCTCTTTCACCCATCAGCCCTATGACCTTGAGCAAGTAACTTAATCTTTCTGACTCTCACTTTCCTCATCTATAAAACAGGGATTATATCAGAACCTGTATGATAGGAGTTGTGTAAGGATTAAATGAGGTAGTGTAAAGTGCTTAGCACACAGAATGTAAATCATAGTGAACGCTCATTGGTGTGCATTGTTGTCTTTAAATTCTGTAAACTGAAAATGTAATCTCTAAGAATATGGGGTCTGTTAAAAATATTCCAATGTAGAAAAACTATATGGAGGTCTGTAAAGTATCTTTTAATTGAATTTTGTCTTTACCATGTGGTGACAAACCTAACATTTATTAGAGATGTTGCCTTAAATGCTAAAGTATTTTCTATTTCAGTGCAACTGGCATTTATGTGCCAGATATTCCTTTTTTTTTTTGTGGTGCACGGGCCTCTCACTGTTGTGGCCTCTCCCATTGCGGAGCGCAGGCTCAGCAGTCACGGCTCACGGGCCCAGCCGCTCTGCGGCATGTGGGATCTTCCCGGACCGGGGCACGAACCCGTGTCCCCTGCATCGGCAGGCGGACTCTCAACCACTGCACCACCAGGGAAGCCCCAGATATTCTTAATCATACTAAATAACTACAATTTTTTCCCCAGATTGCTCTCAGCAAATTTAAACTAATAGGCCGACTAGATCAGCTGTGCCGTTTACTATGCGAATAAGTAGAAGAGGGCCTAAATAAAGGAGGCAGTTGACAAAAGGAAAAACGATAAAGAGCCGTACTAACAGGACCTGGGTTTGTTGTCCTGGAGATTCGTGCTGTGGCTCCTCGTTCTTCTGTCAGTTTAGGGGAAAAATAGTATTTATGTCAGGATCGTCTTCAGAGGTGGGAGTCCTAAAGGAACCAGGAAAGGAGAGAGATGCTCTTACACGGGTTGGATGTTTGTCTCCAGTTTGGGCACCAGATTGCGTTGCTGCTTGAGACCTCGGACTTTCTCTTGACTACCTTGCTGTCTCAGTAAGCTCCCACACCCTTGCCTGTGAGGTTTGTGCTCCTGGCTCACAACCTTTGATCAACCCGTTTGCAGGTGAAGGTGTGGGGGGTGAAAGATGGATCGAGTTGCTCATAATGATCTGAAGTCATGAAGTCAGTGAAGCTGGATGTGGATGAGGGGTGAAGGGTGGGGAGCTTCTCAGCGTCGTGATGAGATCCATGGCTGCTGCTCCGCTCTTCTTGTTTAGCCACTTTGTCCCTCATTTTCATCTCCCAAGGGTTCAGCATGCTGGAAGTAAGTTTTGTTTTCTTCACTGTCCCAGGTTGAGTGTTCTGTATTCTGTTGAAGTTACCTAGTTTGGAAGCCCTGGTGTAGTCTGCTACCCCGGGCTGGGGCTGGCAAGATTGAATGTCCTAGAAGTCCAGGATTCAGGACCCCGGACCCATCTCATCTGCTCCCACCGTCCACATCCCTGCTAGACCCGAGCCCACAACTGCGTCAGTGATACTAGCTGATGTTTATTGAGCGAGTGGCCTTTGGGCCACGCACTCCCCTAGAATCTGAAGAGTTACGTCCTCCTCACAATAGTTGGAAGAGTGATTACCAATGGTTAAGTGACCTGCCCGAAGAAGCGCAGCTCGTGAGGGACAGAGATGGAAAGTTGACAAGCAGTTTGGCTCTGCGCTGTGCTTTGCCAGCTGAGCCCTCCGGCTCCCCAGCAGCCTCCTTGTCCTCGTTATCCTTTAGTGTTTTGATTTTGGGGTACCTTTTTCTTTAATTTGCAAGTATACTTACAAAACAGTTCACTGTCACGTGAACGTCCTCAGCCCGGATTGCGAGGCAGAGGGGAGCTGTCCTAACCTGCTTTCACCACCCAGGCTAGAAGGCTCACGAGTTTGGGTGTCAAACAGAGGTCTCTCCATCCTGCCCACTGTCGGCCAGTGTCCTCCGTAGCAAATGGGAAAAGCCAGTGATGGGCCATGCTGCCAGCAGTTTGGCCCAGAGAGTGGCAGCTGTGGTGTGGAGAAGAGGGCTGTGTGATGGTTATAGAGCGCCTGTTCTGCTGCTTTTTTCTTCTGTTTCCCTCGCTTTTGTTGTGCTTTCATTCATTCATCACACATTGATTGTGGGGACTTCCCTGGCAGTCTAGTGATTAGGACTCTGCACTTCCACTGCAGGGGGCACGGGTTTGATCCCTGGTTGGGGAGCTAAGATCCTGCATGCTGTGAGGTACGGCCAGAAACAAAACAAACAAACAAACAACAACAAAAACATTCATTGTGCACCTGTCACGTGTCAGGCGCTCAGAACCCTACCTTCCTGTGGCGCCCAGTGCAGTGGGCAAGACAGTTTGCAACATGGTGGTAAGCATGGGGTGTCGGGGTCGCTCATGGAGCAGCTCCTAACGCAGATTACAGAGGCTAAAGAAGGCACCCAGGTGAGGGTGATACCGGAATTGGCTGAAGGATGAGATGGAACTGCGCTAGAAGGGGCTGGAACTGAAGGTGGGAGAGCGGGGTGTGCAGAGGCACCCAAGGGGGGTGTTGAGAGACTTCAGTTACTTCTGGATGCCCTAGGACAGAGCCAGAGAGGTAAGGAGTCTCCCGATTGTGAAGAGTTGGGGTTTCATCTCAAGAATTATGGAGACGCCCTGGAGGGTTCTGAGCAGCAGGCTGCTGTCAGATCTGCCTTTTTGAAAGCTCACTCTGGCATGTCAGAGGGTAGCAACAAGGCCCAAGGCAGGCAGGGAAGGCCAGGGGCTACGACAGCAATCCGGACACACCTAGATCTCAGAGGGTCTCCTTTTCTCACTATTGCAGTTATGAATACAGAGGTGCTCCGAGCCCAAGAAGAATGGGAAGCTGTGGACAGTATCCAGCCAGAGACAGGTAACTGCAGGGACGGTGCTGCCTCCTCACAGCCCGCTGCTGCTAAGCACACGAGCCACCCGTGCGGCTAATGTTCTGTGCCTCTGGGATTAGGATACAGAATTCCTGGGTCTTCTCGTTTTCAATACGTGACATAGGATAAAACCTCTTTTCCCAATTCAGAGGTGATGCCATTGACCTCTGGAGGGAATGGGGATGAATGCCTTGGGGAGAGGGCTGCCAGCCGTGAGAGAAGACAGGGAGGACCTTCGTCAGGGTCGACGTCTGCAGGGTGATGAGGTCAGGCAGAGGATGGAGGCAGGCAGCCAGGACCCCTGTGCCAGGCCGAGCAGGCTGTTCACTACACAAGCAAGTCCCTGGAACTGGGGGCTGAAGCCATCTGCTGGAAGCCTCTGTCTCTCGTGCCTTTCAGGAGGTTTGGCTGGAGCTGCGGGAGGGGAGAACTGGGACCCAAATCTAGCCTGAACCCCACTTGAGCTCCTGAAGAGATGTTAGAGTGGACTGTTTCAGCCATCACCTGTATTGCGGACTGATGAGTCAGTACCCTGTGATGAAGGCTGGATAGGGGATCATTCGTATCCAGGGCGTGAGAAGGGGCAAAGTAGAAGATAGGAACGGCCCCTAAACAAACCTGTAGCATGCTCCTGCGTGGGTACCTCCTCCAGGCAGTGACTTGCCCCCACTCATAGAAGAGTGGACATTAGGGGCCCCTGCAGATCTGTCTCCACTCACTTCAGGGCTTAGCCTAGTCAGCCTCTGCACAGCCGGGTCCGAAAGGGAGTCAGCCCAGCAGATAACGCCACCCCCTTGACAGAGGAGGCTTGGTTGTAACTGTAGGTGTCTGACGTTTACAGCTGAAAGTCAGCGCTGGGCTTAGAGGTGACAACCGGCGGCCCTCAGTAAATGTCTGCTGATAGAATGACTACTGTTACAAGTGCCAGAGTGTCTTCCCTTTTGCCACAGGGAGCCGGGCCAGCTCAGACCAGCCTGGGCAGCTAATCTCTTTCATTGAGGCCCTCCAGCATTTCCAGACCGTGGACCTCTCTTCCTTCAAGGTATGACAGTAGGGAGGTTTGGGGGTCTCAAGCAAAGCACTTTCTTCCCAGGAGCCAGGTTTCTTCCCCACCAGGATAGGGCACTGGGCAAGCAAGATGGAACTTTCCAGGCGAGGGCTCTGTCTCGACTAAGAAATCTCGGGGCGCAGGATCACAAGTGGCCAAGGACCCACATGTCATGTGGGCCCCGGCGGCCTTTCAGGGACTGTGCCCCCAGAACTCTAGTGGCCCTGTCTTATAGGGGCCCGTGGAGCTGCTCCCTGCTTTCCCCTCCTAGGGATGGGGAGGTCTGCAATCAGATGCTGGGGAGTTCCTTGGGGAAGCAGGGCAGCCTGTCCAGAGAGCTGAGTAATTCACTGCCACCGCAGGAAAATCTTCCATCCCCTAGAGGAACAAGAAGTTATTTGGGAATTTAAAAAATATGTGGGGTTGGAAAAAGAAAGAATATGAAGGAGAGTAAAAGCTGACAAGCTTTCTGGGGAATCTTGGTGACAGTAGTAAGTTTAGAGAACTGTGATCTCAGATCTTCAACCTAAAGCCTGGCTCAAGGAGAGAGGCTAAAAAGATAGGAATCAGATTGGTTTGTAGGACCCAGAGATCCAGAGGCTGCCGAAATCAGGGTATCCTAAGCCCTGCGGCAATGGCTGTGAACAAGGAGAAGTCGGCAGGAGCTGGTTTAGGCACTGCTGCTGTGGTGTGGACAGAAGGCGCCAGCTCCCCTCAGGGGTATCCTGCTCCAAAAAAGTGCCCACTGACTGTTTTTTTGTTTGTTGGTTTGGCCGTGCCACATGGCATGCGGGATCTTAGTTCCCCAACCAGGGATTGAACGAGCGCCCCTTGCATTGCAAGCGTGCAATCCTAACCACTGGACTGCTAGAGAAGTCCCCCCGCCACTGACTGTCTTTCTTGGAAGCTGAGAGAGCTGTTAGACTTTATATTTATGTCCTTTACAGAGAGAGACAGAGACAGACATACAAAGGGTAGAAGCAGCCCTGCTGGGAAACTTGGCCTGGCATCTGTGAGATGCCAGCCCCCATAGCCAGCCACCTCTAGCTTCCTTGGTAGTCAGTGACATAGCTATTTCTGGAAAAGCCCAGAGGACTAAATGTAGACAACCGGATGATAATGCCTATGCTCGGGGACATCTCTCTCTACTTACAAAGAGCCTACGAGCTGGAAGAGTCTGTCTCCAGAGATTCGCAGATGCTTCACAGCTTCTGCCCCATTTCCCTGGCCCAGAGGCCAGCCAGTTAGTGGGAGAACCACTCCTTTCTGCAAGACCGGTCCTGTACTGAGCCTGATGGTAAGTTCATTAAAGCAAATGATCACAACACTCTGCCTATTGCCTGCACCTTCCTCCCCAGAAAAGAATCCAGCCCACGATCCGCAGGACCGGGCTTGCTGCCCTCCGGCACTGCCTCTTCGGGCCTCCCAAGCTCCACCAGGGCCTCCGTGAAGAAAGGGACTTGGTCCTGACCATCGCTCAGTGTGAGTGCCCGGGGGCTGCCACAAGGCAGGCGCCGCATGAGCGGTCAGGCAGAGAGCACAGTTTGCTACCCGGTTGCTGAGACTAAGCCAGGGCTCCTGCATTTACCATGTTGGGGGGAGAGCAGAGTGTCTGGAGCACCGGCCAGGTCTGTCTGGGCTGTACCGTTCTCTGGGAAGCACTCAGTCCTCCTGTGAGGGCCAATCCAACAGAGCATGGGTGTGTTTTGGGGCAGGTGGCCTGGATAGCCAAGACCCAATGCATGGCCGAGTCCTCCAGACCATCTATAAGAAGCTGACCGGCTCCAAGTTTGACTGTGCCCTCCACGGAGACCACTGGGAAGATCTGGGCTTTCAGGGTAAGAGAGAGGAATGGTTCGTCTTCTCCCTGACTCCTTATTCCAGGACTAGCGTGAGAACCCAGGCAGTCCTCTTCCTGTCATGTCAGCACCATGAGACAGGATATCTGGGGCAGAGCATTTCAGGAAGAGGGTACAGCAGATGCAAAGGCCCTGAGGTGAAATGTGTGTACCTCTTTCTGAGAAATAGCAAGGAGTGTGGCTGAAGTGGACAAGGAGAATAGTTCGCTCGGGGCCTTGCAGGCCAGTGTGAAATATTTACTCTAAGTGAGATAGCAAGCATGGGAGTGATAGGATTTAGAATCCAGTGTTTTCTTTTTATTCTTTTCTTTTACTGTCGATGACAATTTTTTTTTATATTATTTCATTTTTTTGAGTGAAACAAAATGATTTCACCTGTTTTGGGACTGTACTATTTTTTCAAAATCCTATCAAATTACATTTGTATAGAATAGGAAAATATCTTAATTTAAAAAGGAAACTTTACATACTCATAATTAATTGGTGCTCTGTTGGTACTGACAATGTGTTTAAGTCCCTTTACCTTCCTTCATCTATAATATAATTGTTCTAAATATTCCCTCTGTGTACATTGAGAATGACATCAGTGTTATGATTTTTGTTTCAACCATTAATTAAAATAACTCAAGAGGAGAAGCAAGGTCTGTTGTATTTACCCATATATTTACTCTCTCCATTGTTCTTTCTTCTGATATTCTAAGATTCCTTCTTTTATCACTTCCTTTCTGTTTCAGGAACTTCCTTTAGCCATTTTCTAAAGTAGGTCTGCTGGCAATAGATTCTTTAGCTTTCCTTCATCTGAGAATGTCTTGATTTCCCCTTCACTCCTGAAGGATAATTTCTCTGAATGTAGAATTCCAGGTTGACAGGTCTTTTCTTTCAGCGCTTGAAAATAAATGTGCTACTTCCTTTTGGCCTCCATGGTTTCTGATGAGAAATCTGCTGTCACTTGAATTATTCCTCCTTGTTAGGTAAGAAGTTGTTTCTCTCTCTGCTTTCAAGATCTCTTTTGTTTGTTTTTTTTCTTTTGTTTGCAGGAGTTTGACTCTGATATGTCTTAGTGGGGATTTCTTTGGGCTTATCTTATTAAGGGTTTGCTCAGCTTCTTGAATCTGTAGGTTTATGTCTTTGGCAAATTTGGTAAAATTTCACCCGTTATTACTTTGAGTACTTTTTTCAGCCCTGCTCTTTCTCCTCCCTTGTACAACTCTGATGACACAGATGCTAGATCTTCTGTTACTGTTCCACAGGTCCCAGAGGCTCTGTTCATTTTAGGGGGATCTCTGTATAGCTCAGAGGTCTTCAAGGCTCTGTTTATTTTGTTTTGTTTTTTCTCTCTATTGATCAGATTGGGCAGTTTATATTGTTCCATCTTCAAGTTCACTGGTTCTTTCCTCTTTGGTCTCTATTCTGCTGTTGAGCCCATCCAGTGAGTTTTTAATTTTAGGTATTATATTTTTCTGAAGTTTCTGTTTGGTTCTTTACATCTGATATTTCTTTACTGAGACTTTCTGTTTTTTCATTTTTTTCAAATGTTTGTAATTGCTTATCAAAGGCATTTTTATGATAGCTGCTATAGTAGTTTCCCATTGTTGCTGCAGAAAATTACCACAAATTTAGTGGCTTAAATCAACACAGATTGATTATCTTCTAGTTCTGTAGTTCAGAAGTCTGACACAGTCTCACTGGGGCAAGATCAAGGTGGCAGCAGGGCTGCATTCCTTTTTGGAGGCTCTAGGAGGAAATCTATTTCTGTGCCTTTTCCACCTTCTCGAGTCCACCCACGTGCCTCCTCCTTCAGAGCCGGGAACGCAGCATCTCTCTGAGCTGATTCTGTCCTCACATCTCTCTTTCTGACTCTGTGCTTCTACCTCCCTCTCTCACTTTTAAGGATTCTTCTGACTACATTGGGCCCAGCCAGATAATCCAGGATAATCTCCCTGTCCTGATTAGCAACCTCCGTTCTAACTGCAACCTTGATTCCCCCTTGCTGTGCAACAGAACGTACTTGTAGGTTCTGGGGATTAGGACGTGGCTATCTCTGGAGGTGCCAGTTATTCTGCCTAGGACAGCTGCTATAAATTCCTTCCTTATCAGGTAATTCCAACATGTGTGTGATCTCAGTGTTGCTATCTGTTGATTGTCTTTTCTCATTCAAATTGAGGTTTCCCTAGTTCTTGGTGTAATGAGTGATTTTTTATCGTGTCCTGGATATTGTGGGTATTATGTAATGACAGTGTTGATCATCTTTAAATCTATTATTTTAGCAGGGCTCCTCTGACACTGGGCGGTGGGGGAAGGGTGATGTCACCTCATTACTGCCAGGTGGGGATAGAAATCCAGGTATCCCACCTGACCTCCACTAATACCACTGGCTGGGTGGGGCAGGGGTGCCTCACTGCTGTTCCCATGTAGCCTCCACTGATGTCACGAAGGGTGTGGTGGGCTCCTTAGCACTAGAGAAGGATAAAAGTCCCAGCTCCCCGCTTCTTTGACTGCCTTGTTACAGTCAGGCAGGGGAAGTCTAGGCTCTCCACTTGGGCAGTGATCAAGGTAACCAAGTCATTGAATCTCACAGAGCAGGGATTTCATTTAGCACCCTGAATTTCCTCTTGGTTTTTGTTTTAGGAACAAATCCAGCCACAGACTTGAGAGGAGCAGGCTTCCTTGCCCTCCTGCATCTCCTGTACCTGGTGATGGACTCAAAGACCTTGCTGATGGCCCAGGAGATCTTCCGCCTGTCTCGTCACCATATCCAGGTGGGGCTTTGGTGGGAAGCCAGCAGAGAGGGCTGTAGGGGCTAGGACCTGGGCACAGGGCTCTCCTGAGTAACCGTGACAGCTTCGCAGGTAGATGTCCAATTGCTGAGGGCCCTCAGGACAGCTGAGGCAAACCGGGCGTGGGCATGCCTGTCACCCTGACCTGGCTGGAATCTGAGCTCCAGCACTCATTAGTGTGTGTCTCGAGCAAGCGCCTCAACTCTTCAGGGCCTTGGTTTCCTCATCCATAAAGAGGAGATCTTGGAAACGTCACCTGGATGGTTGGGAAAATTAAATGAGGTAATGTACAAAAGCGCTAGACACAACTGTGGTACCAGCGTCTCAGCTCACTGCCCTCCCAGTATTGGCAGGTTCTCCTGACCCTGGAGGAGGGGGGTCAGCCTTTATTTGCCCAGGGAAGAAGGTTTGCCTCGAAGCATCAGGTAACACATGGACTTGCTGAAAGGCCAGAAGTGGCTCCCGTAGCCCTCAGGTTCTGTCCAGGCCTGCTCTCCAGGGTTGGTTTGATGGTTTTCCCCTGTAGTAAAAGGTGCTGGTCCCCCCATTTAGAAAACATACTCGACCTGTTTCCTGCCATTCATCTATCCCAGATTCATGGGGCCTGGAATTCTTTCATGTACTAAACAGGTATTTATTTAGGATTCCCTGTGCTAGTTATTGTTCTTGGTGTTTGGGCAACATCAGTGAGCAAAACAGACAAAGATCCTTCTAGCAGAGAGGACAAGACAGTCAGCCTAATACATAAATAAATTATAGAGTATGTTAAAGGTGGTAAGTGCTAAGTAGGCAAGGTTAGGAGAATGTGGGAGGATTACAGTTTTATGGGGTATTAGGGTAGCTCTCACGAGAGGGTGAGACTTAAACCAAGCCTTGAAGGAGGTGAGGATGTTAGCCAAGCTTGTATTTGGAGGAAGAGCATTCCGCACAGAGCGGGCAGCTAGAGCAAACGTCCCAAAGGAGGTGTATGTCTGGCATGTGCAGGAATGGCAGGGAGGCCAGCTGGAGCAGAAGGGGCAGGGAGGGCAGTAGGAAGGAGGTGATGGGGTAACGGGCACCAGACGGTGTCGGGCCCGGTAGGCTATGATGAGGATGTTTGCTTTTACTCTGAGTCAAATGAGGGTTTTGAACAGCCTGGAGTGACACGATCCAACTTACATTCTTAAATGGATCCTGCCAGCCGTTGGGTTGAGAGTAGTCTCTGGTGAGGGCTTTTGTAATCAAGTTAGAGATGATGGTGATCTGGACCAGCGTATTTTCAGAGGAGGCGTTGTGAAGTGATCCGATTCTGGATGTAGAATCTTGAGCGTATGGGCTGTAGAGAATAGAGCCAGCATATTTTTCGAATGGATTGGGTACAGGTGTAAGAAAAAGAGGCATCAATGGTGATTTTTAGCCTGAGCAGCTGGAAAGACAGAGTGGCCACCAACTGAAATGGAAAAGAAAGAGCAAGGGTGGGGGTGGTTCCATCTGCCATATAAATTTCAGACTGAGGTTATGCGTTTGTTTGTTTCATAAATTTACTTATTTATTTATTTTTGGCTGCATTAGGTCTTCGTTGCTGCACGCAGGCTTTCGCTAGTAGCAGCGAGTGAGGGCTACTCTTCCTTGTGGTGCGCGGGCTTCTCATTGCAGTGGCTTCACTTGTTGTGGAACACGGGCTCTAGGCGCACAGGCTTCAGTAGTTGTGACACGTAGGCTCAGCAGTTGTGGCGCATGGGCTCTAGAGCACAGGCTCAGTAGCTGTGGTGCATGGGCTTAGTTGCTCCGCAGCATGTGGGATCTTCCTGGACCAGGGCTTGAACCCGTGTCCCCTGCAGGCGATTCTTAACCACCGTGCCACCAGGGAAGCCCCAGGTTATGCGTTTTTGACAACTACGGAAGTGATGTACCTCATGTCAGGAGCACCCATGTCAACATGTCTTATTACTGGTGAAGTTAACCTTGGGCACATGGTTAAGGAGATATCAGCCAGGTTTCTACGCTGTAAAGTTACTATTTTCCCCTTTGTAATTAATCACTGTCTTGGAGGAAGATACTTTGAAGCTATGCAAATATCCTGTTTTTCCTCAAACTTGATTCTAATAGTGATTTTGTTTCCCTCATTCCTCCTACATTTATTAATTTTTAAATTTATTAATTGGAATTCTTCTGTAAGAAAGAATTGTCTTTGCTATTTATTGATTCTGGTACTTTTTATATCCACAGGGACTCAGATTTTTATTTTATTCTATGGGATATAACCCAACACTTTTATTATTTATTTATTTATTTTTTTTTTTTGCGGTACGCGGGCCTCTCACTGTTGTGGCCTCTTGCGTTTCGGAGCACAGGCTCCGGACGCGCAGGCTCAGCGGCCATGGCTCACGGGCCCAGCCGCTCCGCGGCATGTGGGATCTTCCCGGACCGGGGCACGAACCTGCGTCTCCTGCATTGGCAGGCAGACTCTCAACCACTGCGCCACCAGGGAAGCCCTATTATTTATTTTGTTGCTAGAATTGTTCCCATGTCGACCATTTTTTTTGTTTTACATCTTTATTGGAGTATAATTGCTTTACAATGGTGTGTTAGTTTCTGCTTTATAACAAAGTGAATCAGTTATACATATACATATGTTCCCATATCTCTTCCCTCTTGCGTCTCCGTCCCTCTCACCCTCCCTATCCCACCCCTCTAGGTCCCATGTCTACCATTTTAAGAGCTCTTTCAAAAAAAAAAAAAAAACTCTTTCAGGTGGTACCTGTGCCCTTTCACCATGCCCTGTCCTTTTTTGAGCACTTTTCTACTTTCTGGACCCTAAAGATGCTCTAGGCTCTTGTATTTTCCCTGAATGATTCCCAGCCCTGCGATCAACCACTTCTCCAAAGAGCTCTTGTTCTTTAGTTGGAGAATGATATTTGGAAACCAAGATCTGAGTGCTGGGTGTTCTCACTGGTATTAGGATCTCACTGCTTCTAGGCCCTCTCAGTGTCCAGAGCTTGGAAGATATGTATGTGTCACTGATTCCCTCCTGACTCCGAAAGGAGTGGTCTCCAGTGGTGAGCAAACCTGCCCAGGCCCCAGCAGCACTTCACAGAGAACAGGAAGGGGGGTGTGATGCTGCCTGAGGGAGAGGAGCTGAGAATGAGTGGCTGAAGGTCAGACCTGCAGCATTTTCTTCAGATCATTTTGTCTTCAAGCTGGAGTCAGGCCGGCCTGCACTGCAAAAACAGACTGTTCCAGTAACTGTGTTGTTGGTCGTATTAGTTAATTCTCAGAACCTCAGCTTCTTCCTTTGTAACATGAGAAAATAATCCCAACTCCGTAGACTTATTCTGAGTTGTAGAAGAACCGTGTAAAGTGCTAAGCACATTGGTCATTCAAGGAGTGTTAGTTATCAAAGTAACTTTTGATTTCTGTGAGCAAAAATACATTTTATATACATCTTATAGATAATACATGCATACGTAACTATATGTGGTGTTTTCAAAATCATATCTGCGCTCGCGCCTGCACACACAGACACAACACATACATCCACACATATACACACAGCCGTTGTAAGGTAAGATAGATCCATTTTGAATCTAAAACTTCTTGACTACAAAACACATAGTCACACAGTTCCTTCCACCTGGGCAGTTTTTCATTTCGTTCACTGCATATCTCTGTTACCTTTTGAGGAAAAGTACCCATTAAACCTGACGGTTTCACATACGCCCATCTCTTCCAGGAGACACTGGAGGAGGCAAGAGGGGACCTCGTGAGGATCTGGTCTTGAGGTATATCAGGACCCATGAGTTGAGAATGTGGGCATATTCTGTGCTCTTCACGATGCGGGGAGGTGATGTCTGGGTCAGGTTTGAGAACTGGACCAGTTAGCCTGTGAAACAGTGCGGTCTCTTGTAGCGATGCTGCTTTGTTATAGGAGGCCCAGAGGTTGAGGCATATCTTAGCAGTCACTGGGCCAGCCCCTTGTTGTAGAGACAGTGAAGACCCAGACAGGGGAAATGGCTTGCCCAAGGTTCCCCAGCTAATGAGTATTTCCTAGAAATCATCTCTGACCTCAGTGCCTCCCTTTCTTGTGGTTTTTGAAGGCTCTCTTGTAAGATCTTCCTGCAGAAATATGGAAGCCAGGGTAGAGGGTTAGTGCCAGTTCAGCATCCCTCATTTGTTTTCAAGGACAGGCTTGACTGAGGTGAGGGGGTAGGTCATTGGATATCTGAGGGAGGAATGTCCCAGGCAGAGGGAAGAGCAAGACGAGAGAGGAAGCCCTGGGTACTTGATCTGGGTCCAGACCAGCCTGACCACTTTGACCAATCTGTTTCTCATCCCTTCACCTGCTGGCCTCTGTGGAATTTATTGTGGATTTATACTTACTCCACAACATGCATGTCAGACAATAAGAAGGAATAGCAGCTTAAAATAATAAAATAAGAGGGCTGGTGTAGGTGTCAGGAAGCTAGATCCTAGTTCCATCTGCAGTATCATTACTTAGCTATGATTTGAGGCAAGTCACCTAGCCTCTCTGGGCCTCCCTTTGCTGTTTTATGAAATAAGAGATTTGGCCTAAAAGATTCTAAGGTCCCTTCCGGCTTTATGATTCCTTGAACTCCTAAGTAACTCCAAAGTTTAAAGGAAAACTTCACCTCAAGCCCTTATGGATCTTGAAAATACAGTTTTCCAGGAGGCACGTAGGAGACCAGAGTAACAGTTGGGGGACTCAGACCTGCCAGAAGCCAGTCCTGTCTCTTTTCTAAGGAGAGAGCTGAGGTCTCAGGTACCTGTGGTACATCCTACTAAAGGGGAATTGGCCAGAAAGTACAGATGCTGGGGGAACCCAGGACTCCATGAAAGTGCATGGCCCACGCTGTCCTGAGGAGGAGGAGTGCTACAGTTCAGATGCCGAGACGCAGGCCGCATCTGGCTGATTGCTGGCAGGAAGGGAAGCCCCTCGCAACAGTAGTTACAAACAGACAACAATTTGTATAGCTTTCCTTGCA